GAAGACTGAATCTGGACATCTGTAAAGTTTACATACCTACGTATCTAATATCTTAGTAGCTGAAGTTATTCTAATATTAATGTCACATTTGTACAAGGCTAAAACATTTTAAATGAATCTTTCATCTCAATCGCTGTTCCAAATCTGGCGGGTGTCACGCCTTTCTTTCAGTGAATGAAAATACGAAAAGTTCAATAACTCCCTTGTTCGGAAGTTTCTTAAGTGGTGTCCGTTACCCAGGCCAGATGTTGTCGACAATGGTCATTTGAATCTTATAGATAATTAGTTGTGCGGCTTCTGTAATTGTTGCGCACATTTTTAAATTTGTTGCGCTTATAGTTTTTTAATTATTTCACAAAAACATTTCCTGCTGGCGTAACGTTACCACAGCCAGACCTGTTTCTTTCTAATGGGAATATTTAAATAAATATTAGCTATAAAATTAGTTGTCTAGATAAAGTAAATGTTGTGCCTTATTTTGTATTTGTTCTTTCTTCGGTTGCGAAGTTATTCGAGATTTTGCTGCGGTAACGTTATTGGTTTTGCTAGATCTTTGAAATGGTTAAGCGGATTCTTATCATATTTTGTACACGACTTCCGAGGACTTAGTTTAAATTTGTTGTGCAATAACAAAACCAAAATAATGCATATTTTAAAGGTTTTTTCATTAAATAGAAAAACACTTCAACTGGCCCCAGCACTCTCAATAAGAAGTCTAAAGACTTACTTTAAACGTAATTTTAAAGCTTGTAACTGCCTTCAAATGTATGTGAAGTTTCATTAGTATCCCGTAAGTATTTAACAAGTTATGATGATATTCAGTTCTTCACGAGCACGGTCTTAATGCACGCGGTGTTTTTTGGCCACTGGATTGGATATATGAACTGAATGTTATGTCAATGATTAGTTGTTTAGATCAGTTGTATATCAGTAAAATTTCAGCTCAATACATTGGATAATTAATGAGATAATACTATTAAAGTCATTAGGAAGTGAATGACCGTGGTAAGCCGACCAAGTTTAGGTGGTTACGAAAAAGCGAAAATGCAGAACATTATGGTACCTACCTTCTAAAATGTAGTGTGTGTGGGAGAGCCACGCTTCGGCTCGAAAGTGCTACCACGGCCTCACACATAACTGGCGTAACAGCGTCGTGTTTCACCGTGTGATTGAGGTCCAATAAATCTCCCCCTATCCAAACCCTTAAATCTCCAAAACCTATATCCCAAAAGACTGAAAACGCAGTTGTAACTCTTCCGGTCTTCGGGTATATAGGCGGCGCCGATTGCTTATCATCAGACAATCCGTCTGTTCGTTTGCCGTTCTATCACATAAATAATGAGTTTAGTTATATATACCTCATGCTTTTCGAGCTCCCTCCGTATGGTATTCCGAAATACCGCTCACCGACAGGACGGTTTTCCGATAACACCCTACTCCGACGGATAGTTGAACGAAAAAATAATTCGCCGATAATATTTATTCATCGACGGTTGGTAGTCGAATGAATCCTTCGGCAATGTCCGATACATTGTTTACACCGAAAACACCCTTCAATAACGATTGGTTAAACGAACGAATCTCTCGCCGATAGCACTCGTTGTAGGGGAATTCTTTTGCCCAATGGATAGTTTTTCGTTCAGCTTGACAACACCCTTAGTTCTTGTAGAAGTCTTATTAAAAATATAGGTATTTAATAATAAAATAACACATGGAAGAGTGCCAAAAAAGTTTTCATTTACCAATAAAAAATTTCCCACACCCTATTCCGTCGGAGTAGGGTGTTATAGGACAACCAACCGTCCTTTCGGTAAGCGGTATTTCGGAATACCATACGGACTCATGCTTTTTAGATATTTTTGATTATAATATAGACAGAGATCCTGTCTGTTCTAAGACACAAAAATGACATTTTATATTCGTCCGCTTGCACCCTGCTGCTGTTCCGCCTTACTAAAGGGAATGAAATAAAATACGAATAAGTACCACAAATCTGTTTATTTCACAAATTATATGATATAAATAATTTTGACGTGCGTGTTTTTGCACGCTGGGTTCCGTCGACTTCTAACATTACGGTTCTTGTCTGCGGAACCCTAATTAAGCTTTTACAAGGCAACCAAATTGCAATGCCTAAGATACAAAATTACAGGCAATTCATTGCCTATACAAATAAACTATAAGTCGGTATTTATTGGCGCTGCTGAGGCGGAAGAGATTTAAATAGGTACCTTCCTATATAACATCAAAATATAACACCGTACTTCCATAGAAATGAATGAAATCCAATAGATATACTGTCGGGCTCCAAAACAATGTATACAGTATGAACTAAGTATAAGAAAGCACGGCCTTAACTTTTCTTAATGAAAACTGTCATGTCTTGTTAAGAAAATAATACTTATAATACGGTACTGTCGGTAGCTATCGTTATAGTACCTAAATTGTGTAGTTTTTTATTTAGAAGTACTTAGGTACTTCACTAGAAGTTATGTTACCGACCAGTGGTGGTAACAGATTTGGCTACGAATGTTACTGTTCAGATTCAGACTTAAGACTGGTACAGCAGATTCTTATGCTGAGCATTCTTGCACCTAATTTTGCATCCCTGGTCTCCTAGCAGCGCCAATAGTACCCACACCGACATCTAACATCCATATATACAACGGACCTCTCTGTGTGGATGTATGTCATATGTTCCAATCTTCAAATTTCCTTAAGTATGTAACCAATTAACAATTAAATATTTTTTTAATGATTATTTTAGAAATTGGTCGTATACTACTATAACACTTTTGTTATAACATAAGAATAATATCTACATAGGAATACATTTGGGACATTCCATGTTTATTATATAATGGAATATTCCATTCAATATTCCTCGTTTAATTAATGAAGCTGTGTATTGAGATCCATGGTAAGGTGATGTGAACGTAAAACACATGACATACAAACACACAGTCTTATACAATGTACAAAACATCCCAATGACTAAGACAAAGGATTACATAATCATTTTGAAAAAATTCAATTACTTTATTGATTTCATTAAAATCTCGTCACAAAATCACTAATTACTAATACACTCCCAGTTGTAATCGATTCGTTGACTAAACTATTCGTTCGCACTAAAAAGGAGAATCGATTTCCGAATCTAATCCTAGTCGAATTAGTGCAGAACTTTACGTGAACAACTAGTTGTTTATCACAGATATCTTGCATGCATGTCGCCGACGAGGGTAGACGCTTAGGTATAGCGGAGCCGAGTCGCGCCGGTACCTTGGACCCGCGCCCGCTTTCCTTTGCTTGTTACATTACATGCAGCGGTATCGATACAAAATTATTCATATATTTGTACATATCTCCGATTTAGGGAACTATAATTCTAAGCCAACTCCACTACTATGTCTTCACAATGCACGACACAACTTCTAGGAAACATTCTTCATAAGTAATGATTCTGACAGATGGCAGCACAGGTATAGTTCCATCCACTTGATCGATTATATTATTTAACTATAAAAATACTATTATTGTATGTAATTGTAAACATTATTATATTGTATATATCACTGTAAACATTCGTGCAACATGAAGACATTACATAACACGTTTAGGCATTTATATTATATAAAATTACAGACTCATTTATCGACGCGCTTTTAAGATATATGTAGGGAAGTGGATATACTTAGTCGGGTCATAAGTTCTGTCACAAACTTTTGATGTAATAACTTATACGCCTTTTGACAATTATTTAAAAATTATATATGAAATGAAAGGTCATTAAATGTACAATATAATTTTATTTACATTATTCGAAATGCCCTCCCCCATTTTGAACACATGCCCTTAATCTACGCGGCCAGTCATCGATCGCTGCACGCACCACATTCATATCTATGTCTGCCGCTGCTTTAACCAGAGATGCTCGGAGAGACTCCAAATTCGGGTGAGGTTTAGCACAGACTTTTTCCTCCAAATATTGCCATATCTTGTAGTCCAGTGGGTTTAAATCTGGACTAGAAGAGGGCCAGTCTTCATGCCGGATGAAGTCAATTCCACGAGCGATCAACCAGTCTTGCGTACTTCGTGCCTTATGAGCCGGTGCAGAGTCCTGTTGGAATATCCAATGCCTGTTCCTGAACATTGTCTGAGAAAGAGGTTCCACTATGTTTGTTAGGACAGTATTTTGATAAACTTCGGCACTAGTTCTCACACCTTTTTCACAGAAAAACACCTCAGTTACGCCTGAATATGAGACTCCAAGCCAAACCATGAATGAGGAAGGGTAATGCCCACGCTGGACCCTCGCAATACGCGCGCTTGCTTCTTCACTGCTGTGGGCATACACCTTATCATTTTGTTTGTTAAAACTTTCTTCAATAGTAAAAATTTTTTCATCCGAAAAAAGAATTTCGCGGTATTTTTTTCCCGCGTACCGTCGTAGCAAAGCGCGGGATCTGTCTAGCCTAATTTTTTTTAAACGCTCGTTCAAAAAATGTCCTGTCTTTTTACGATAAGCTCGTAGTCCCAGGTCTTCATTTAGTACTCTTTTAACAGTGGTTCTGCTTAGCCCCATCTGCAGAGCTAGGATTTTTTGTTTACGTACGGGATTTCGTTCGATTCGCGCCTTCACTGCTTTGATGACCTTATGTGTCCGAACTGTGCGAGGTCGGCCGCTTCTCTTACGATCTTCGAAGCTTGACTCTTCGGTGTATCGTTTGATAGTACGATAAACAAACCGTAACGTTATTTTCAAATTTTGAAGAATATTGAAAATGTCTTTTGGCGCGTAACCACAGCGGTGCAACGCGATAACCGCGATTCTGTCTTCTTTATTCGACCACTCCATATTTAAAAATGAATAAAAAATAATTTCTTTTTTATTTTCTACAAGCGCGAAAGTTCTATTTTTAAAATAAGTCGAAGAATTTCTGGCCAGTAATCGAAAATTAAAAATATAAGGTTTTGACAGAACTTATGACCCGACTAAGTATACGCATTCTTAAACAAATGCAGCAATGCATTTACTATCGGGGCGTATAGCCTCAATAATACGGAGTGGAAACTTTAGGTTCAACCCCCACCACAATCTAAACCTTTACATTATTGTAGCACACCGCTACAATATAACGTGGATCAACTCACACATACAAGCTACGCTTTTAAAGCACAAAACGATCGAGGGATTATTATTATTATTTAACAATTGCTATATATCTGTAAATATTTAAGTATAAGAACAATATAGCATGGGCGTTAAATCTAATGTTCCCCACTAACCTATAACATTACGACTGAAAGACTCAACCCCGCGCTGGTCCGGGACGACAGCCCCAAATGTCAAGATGACTGAACAAAACCTCTACTGCGTAACATAAATAAATAAAACATGTACGAGTGTGTTGTGTGAGTCTAATGTACTATGTGTAGTGAATCATAATTGAAAAGGATATCCAAGCATAGCTATGTGAATAATAAAAAATTTCATGTAGTGATTAAAAAATATTTGGAACCTTATGCAATGCAGAGTAGGGTGTAGTTTCCGCAGACAGGACAATGTTGCATGTGATATGTGTTTACGACTACTCATTAGTAGAGACGGGGAGGACGGATTGCGACACTTGTACACGCTGGCTGCACAAAACTGAATGTTTCGTGTTGTCCATGCATTGACCGAGTACAGCAGTGTACAAGCTCGCTTGATGTCGCCGTGCTGTACGAGTGAGTCGTGACGTGTGGTTGGCACAATGAGGGGTCAAGTGTAGAAAAAACAAAAAAAACTCAACATAAAGGTTAGTATTTATTTAACTAGGCAAAAAGGTGATCTTTTTATACAAAAAAATATATTCGCTAAATCGCACTGTGTGCGCAAGTTCTATTACAAGTCTTTAAACAGACCATTTTATTTATAAATAATGACTTTTCCTAGGAAAAAAAAATACACCAAAATATGGTATTCACCTTTATACAAACATTAGTTACAAGCGAACCATAGTTTTCAATGATCATAAATCATATAAAGTAAATGCAAAGAGATCGTGAATTGTAATCGATAGATCTCCTTTGCTGCATTCGCGTCGCGAACCGACTGAGCCGTGACACCGGCCGCCCCGAGCGTGGCAGCGCGCTACACAAATATACATCACAAGCTGGGGTAGAGGCCAGTCGGCCCGCATCACCAACACGTATTGCACGCAATTACAAAATTGCACTTATTTAAATTGTAACTAATTAGAGAACCACAAAGGAATCACTAGGACATAATAGTCTTAATATTCAGAAACAGTTGTATGCCGGAAAGCTATGGACTAATGTATAACGGCGCCATAGAGTTCCATCTACAACTGTCGCTGCAAATGTTACATAAATTACAAAGAAAAAAATAAATAAAAGAAACCACTATGATAGGGCGTTGAGTTGCTTCTCTCAGCTATATCTATATTACAGCCTTACATATTTTGTTTTAACTTTTTTCTAAAATATAAATAGATGTATCACCAGCCTTAGATATCAAAACGGTATTCTTTTATTTAACACTAATTAGTTTTATGAAGCGAGCTTTGCTAGATGGTTATAACAGGGATGATGGGATACGAAAAAACAACGCACTATGCATCAGATAGATAATTCAAATGTTTGAGACAAGTGTTCTTACACAATCTTGTATTGTTTGTACATATTTAGTTCTAAGAGAGTGTTGTGATATCTACATCCCCTCGTATGAAATATATCAACTCGTGTCACAAAAAATATTCATACTGATTGCAAGAAAGCTTGTAAAACATTTCATTAACTATCATGCCAATAAAAATAACTAAAATGAAGTCACCATCCCTATTGTATCAAACATTTCCAACACACCAATGATATGAAATTGACATCTCAACGATATCCATCGCGTGTCAACGTGTACAGGCAACGCGGATGTACAAAACAAATAAAGCAATGTATATTGTTGACTTGTCACTCGAATCACGTCAAAAGTGAAGTGTGTTCAAGGATTGTACGGACACGTGTCGTGTGGATTTATAATGACGGTGACTGAGGGAAATATAATAATATAATTACATTATTATCACTTTGAATAAGAAGGCATAGATCTTATTCGGGTTTTAGGTATCGGTTCAAAGTACATAAACACAAGCTATAGAATATGAGCCTAACAATACGATTCATATCCTAGTTTGTTATATTTTATATAATAGCATATCACGTTTTCCAATCATAACTTTAGTACGGATTACATTTGAAAAATCAATTTCTCCATATTCCTAAACTGTTTTAATGACATCACTTAGTAACTAACAGCATTAAATTAAAATCCATATAGTGACTGAGGTGTCATAACACACTAGCAAAGCGAATTAAATAATAATCGAAAAAAATACCACCTAAGCTAATAACCACGCTATCTGATTAAATAATTGAGGATGATGACGAGGACACATGCGCGCAACTTACTAGAACGGAAGACAGTTGGGAAGTTATCATAAAGGGCTTCAACAGCGCTTCACGCTGTATAGATTTGTAAGACTTCCATTATGAGACTGCAGGCCATAACTAGCGACTGTTTTGTATCAGTAACTTTAGTCGCCAGTTCAGGCTGTGTGTGTCCACGTCACCAATAAGTATCATATTAATTTTTAAACGCATACCAAATAAACGGCGCTAATAACTCCTTTACTTTCAAACTGCTCTATAAATCTCTAACATCATTGTTATATAAACGAAATTTCAAACAGTATCGATATTGTCACGCATATTATATGTTTAGGCCGCGTTTACGACGCGCTATGTCAATAGTAACGGATAATAACTCTATAGAGGGCAGTACTCTCTAAGGATCTCCTACATTTGTCACTGTAAAAGGAGAAGTAACAAAAATTTTAAGCAACGGCCGAAATTTCTAATCGTCTTTCACTAACAAACCAGCATGCAGAAATCATTTTCTGATTACCTTATTTATATTTACTTTTACAAATCTAAAATACCACTCTAATAATCTGTATATTTATTCGATAATTTATCATAATATACTTTTTATTTTATCAATTGCTTCCATTCGCAGTGGATTTGACCTTGAAAAAGAGACGCTTCGTAAATCAAACTTAATGTTCCTTTACTTTCCGATATTTATATTGTTAACCTTAGAGTATATCAAAATTGACAGTCAATTGTTTTATTACTAACAAAAACATTGATACAGGAACAATTACGTCACTTTTACAAAGAAAAGTCCACTGTAAATATTATAGAATTGTCAATTACTCAATAAATCCTACCGGAGTAGCTAGCGATTTTAATGTATCCTACGAAAATGGTTTCCTTATAAAATCAGCTTTGTATTGTCAGTCAGTTTTGTTATTTCTGTACGATAGAGAAACAACGAAAGACGAATGACTGATAGAACGGCTTTGATGCGACTTGGTCGCACAAACGCACTCGTATGTGAAGTATGGCGTGTGCAGGCGAAGATTAATTGTTGCAATGATAGAGCAAATTGAAAGCTAACAATAAATTCATCAGAAAACGGATTAACCAATCTCAAGCCAAAGCCATCGTGAGCCGAATCGGAGTGCTGTACAAAAGTTTACAAATTCAAAGTTGTGTGACAAACAATATTATTCGGATTGTGTGCTCTTGAAAAAGGATCTGTAGAATTTTGGATCACTCATATATAGGTTGATGACCTATGGTAGCGGCGGATTTGCCTTGAATAGTTTTCCATCGGCATTCAAAGGCTTAAGCGATTTTACTTCTATTCAACGTATTCTAAAGCCCGAATACTGAAATGCTACTCAATTATAAGTCCTACTTTAAAATCGTTATTGTAATGAGAAGTATTGTTGTAAACAACTTACAATTGAGTAACGTTTGAGTATGTACATATTTATATAGTTGGAAATCGCGTAAAAGGAATCGAGATTGGTACTCAACTTTATTAGAGACAGGGCGTGCTATAGTCAGAAATATGCTGTTGATAAAAGTTAATAGAAATTAAATTTTTATGAAGTGGCATAGTCTTAGTAAAGACGGTCTCACCACTGAGAAAGGGTAACGACTTATACAAATTGTGAGTAGATTTAGAATTGTATTTGTACATTATTTATTATAATATTTCTGGGGTCACCTAAGAGACTTTATGCAGACAACCAATTTATTTTATGATTTCATTTAGAATGTATTTTGTGTTTATCATGAATAGTATGATACAGGCACCTATCACTATTCAGTAGTGGTGAGACTAGCATGCATAGATGACGTCGACTTTTTCATAATAAAGTGCATTTTGGTCTACAATATTCTGTACTCGTTCCTTTTCTCATATATTCGTTTTAAATGTGGTTTCGTATTTATAAAACGCGGTTTAATTTACTAGTTTTTTAAATATTTGTTTAATAATTAATTGGATTTAATTAAAAAAGAACTAAGCATTGAAATCCGCGTTTGAATTCGTGAATATAATCAATTACGACCAATATTAAAGTACATATAACAAGTCAACCAAAATAAAGAAAACATAAGTTGTATTCTTGCACTTAAGAATAAAACCGTTTTAATTCATATTATTTTTTTCAAGACCAGTTGGCCTACCATGACGTCAATCTTCCGGGCGTGAAAGAGAGATGGAGCTTTACACCTTTTATAGCTTCATCCCTCTTTCTCGCCCGGAAGATGCTAGAGGAGTGGAAATAATATAAGCGAAGCTGAGACGCGACAAGCGAAATGGAGATAAGACAAGCGGAGCGGTTGTATCAACTGATAGAAATTAAGTTGCTCACTCAAATACACTCCATGAGTCACTCTGTGAGTCATTGTTGAATGGCGCAATTAAAGCGAGGATTTGAACTACTCCGCTTGTATCCCCAGTCCGCTTGTGGTACTAAAGTGTTGATGTACCATAATATATGATCAATTAAAACTTGCGATCATTTGAATTCATTCATGGAGTTCATGCTTAAGTTTCAGCGCGGTTTATCCATATTTTTATATAGAATTTACACCGCGACCAAAATGCATTAATGGAATACTAATCAACGTCATCTAGTGCATTAGGATCAAATAAGGTTGCTGTTATTGTCAAAAAGCTGTATTTACGGTTCAGCCCGACCCGAACTAAAGGACTACCATCACATAACACTAGCACCCAATGAAAACACTGGCCAGTATAAACACACATCTACTTTAATGTATTTGTTTTGTGTTTATTGCTCAGTATTTCAGCAGGGTGTGTATAACTTTATTATTATAATTCAACATGTATATTTAAAATCTGAGGTATGTCAAATTATCACTAAAAGTGAATATATTTTGATAGCATGCGATCATGGACAGCCTATACGATAATAAGGCCGTTATGGCTACGTTTTCAATATTGGATCTTTGAAATAAGTCCCACTAGAATCTCAGTAAAACGAATGTTATGTAATTCGCTCAATCATGACACTTTTTGCAATCAATATGTTTGTCTCAACCAACATAGCCGCACAGCAAAGCGTTGTATTCATTTATAAGTTCCAATTTCATAAACGCATTTCTCAAATAATAATCAATGCGGCAACAGTTCAAGTTTTAATATTTTCATCCAAATAACGCTAGCGTTGTAGCAAACTAGTTTCTAGCCTAACGCTATACAAATATGGTAGAATTTTATTTGTACTGAGGCTGTTACAGGATTCTAATCGCGTAAAATCAAGTTATTATAATCATCCGTCTTTCAATATTGCGCCGTATTTGCGTGTACGTAGAAACCATTGTTTATATTTCTAACGAAATAATTAGAATGGATAATATTTACGACTTGATATTCAGTAAACCTAACAAAACAAAATGTTTGGAAGAACCTCACGATTATAACAAAAACAAAAAATCAAATTCTAACAAATAAATCCACAAAAAATGTGGATAAATTATGTGGACGTACATGGGGATAAATCTAACTTTTCATAACGAGTCTCGTTTGTCGCGTAGTGACAAATCGGAGAGGTTTATTTTGATATTTTCATTTGGTAGGAGTTTGCCACCCGATTTGGCGAAGAAAGCCCATTATATGGGAGACATTACACACTTCATAATTACAATTCGCCTGTACAGCGTATGGCTATATTTAGCGTTTATCGATCAGCAGATATTATATAACGCCCTAACCAAAACAGTTATTGTTATATTATCGTGATAATATACACTTAATTTCATACACAGTCGCATTAAGAGCCAATCATACCGCCACGATTAAGCGACTTCTTGAAATCCACGCTGTACAGGAAAATCTAAGCACGTTTGTTATTCCTACCGTTCAAGTGTTGAAGATTCAAAACTATATAAAAAACGAAATTATAATCCTCGTCGCGCCGCTTATAGTAAGTTAATATGTTTCTGCCGGAAACTTCAGCGTGGCTTACTCGGCATTAGTCTGCGCTCTTGAACTCCGTGTCGATCCTGCGCTCAAGCGCTTGGAGGCCTGCCTCTAATTCTTGCTGCAACAGAAACAATAAACATTTCAGTTATTGTTAAATTATATTTTTTTAAAAGCTTTGGTTTTCTATTGACGGGATTGGATACTTTTTCTTTGTACGATATTGTCGAAAATAATATAGTTTGTATAACATTTTGGAAGGGTGATTTACAATCCCTAAATATTTCACGGCAGGTCTCTAAAAACTTTAAAGTTCAAATCCATGAGAACTCCAGCATCGATTTCACTGAAACTCTCATGTGCAATAGATCAGGGTATAAATAAGAACTTAATTGTTTTTTTAATAGAATTGCCTGTCTTTGTCTCTCAAATCTCTTTTTCGAAAATGTACAGTGACTGCGAGACAAAATTATTGAAGCCATACCCACCGCTACCGTAGGTCATGTTGATTATGTTTTTAGACCCACGTGCCGTGTTCATGCTTTTAACTTTTGATATTCAAATAGTAATAATCAGTAAAATTCTATGATCAATAACAAACTTTTTTTGGCTAAAACTTAGTGTAAGCAGTCGGAGATTAGGGTAGCCAGATTATTACTTGTGGGCCTTGTTTAAAAGGCTTTACAGACTCAGGTCACTATTACAAGGGATTTACTGAATAAAAAAATGGGTGATACGTTTAAGGTACTACGCCTGTTCTTCAAGGAGTGCCTGCCGATTGAGGGGTCCGTTCATATTGACCCCAGTTTGTGATAAAACAACTTAATATATGTTTTTTTTTCATATGAGTTTGTGAGTGGTTAATAAATGCTGATGGCTATGAGACATGTTATATAGGATGCCAAACGAATAGGTTATCACTATAACCTATTCGTATTTAGAAGTAAATGTGATAAAGCTGGCAAGCATTCTCTACATTGATGCTGTATTTTGTACAAAAGTTGTTTTTTTTTTAAGAATTTAATATTTTTGTGCAGTTTCGTGGACTTCTTTTGTTATACACGATTCGTTGACGAAAACGAAGAATTGTAAGAAGTCATTTCGAAATCCCATAACCAATAGATTTTGTTAAAGCATGTTTGATTAGCATAAGCGTGTGATGAGAGAGAGGTGTGATTATTGTTAGTATGGAAGATCTCGGTTTGGTGGTTTAGTTTGCAAGTATAATGTATAATACATACTCTTAAGGATATCAACTTTATTACTTTTGAAATAGAATGGATAATATATAATTGGGGAAGCTCTGTACCAAGTATCTTTATGTTATATATGTGCATAGGGTGTGAGGGTTATGAGTTTTAGTCACCGATCTCTCCAGATGAATGACAATTAGCGCTCCTCAACCAATAAATAAAATAAAAGCTTGAAACAAAAGAGGGGCATCGTAACAATGAAAGATTAACATATAGAGAGATGCGTTTATTTGAAACATTAAGCTGAACTAGACACAATCACTGTTATATAATGAATGACTAGATATTTATACTTAGAATTTAGATACAATATGTTCATAAACATTGATATTTTTAAACATTGACAGGGTGGGAAGAGGTCTTAGAGCCCTCTCCTTGGAACTGGGGACCAAGCATGAAGGACAAAGTTTAAGTTTTCGTTTCAATCGTTACTTTCACACGACTGGCTAAAAAGAGGTGTTATGTTTATAAGGATCATGCATGTACCGTGTAATACAGTAATATATTAGTCTATCTACATCTAGACACATCCATATACATGTAGTCGAAACGAAAACGTAAACTGCCTGAGTTTGGAAATTGTTAATTAAATATATATTCGTTAAACTGTGTAATGCTTACTCCCTTCGTTCTGTTCCGATATAAAATAGCTATCGAATGTATATACAGCACCTAATGTTAACATCTAGAGGACATACTGCTATATGGCATACACTACGTTGAAATGGTAACAGTTCACTTGTTCTCTCGCTTGCGGCATGGTATGGATGAAGATGATGGCAATGATATATACATAAAACATTGTTAGTCAGTAGTTACATGTCGTTAGTGTTCTCGTCTGGTGTACTTACGTCATCGGACCCGGTCGCTTGATACGCTTTTGCGGCTGCACTGAGGCGATCTGCGACGGTGGACCTGTCGCGAGGGAGCCGGTTTGCGCCGACCGCCAGTCTACTCGCCGCGACTGTCTGGCTGGCCGTCGGACCGTTGGTTACTGTAGGCACGGGCGCCGGCGCGGCGAAGGGCTCCGGTGGCGCAGGGCACGGGATCGTCCCGGGACCCGAAACGGGTCCACCCACTGCCCGGGGCCCCGCACCGTCGACTGGTGACGAGCGACGCGACCGGACTAGTGGGAGGATTACCGACGAGCGCGCCGGAGTGAATACCTGCTGTAATACGAACCGTTAATCCGATAAACTTTTTCATCGCCTCGTGTCACAAAATGTATCACATTTCTAATATTCATTAGTAGAGTTTTTTAGCTAAGTTTGATCCACCAAAAATCTACAACAAACCTGAGACGTTTGTGTGTCTTAAATAATAACATAAGCAAAATGTACGAGTTATTTCATGTACCATTTTAGTATCAAATAGTATAATAGACATTCAAGAAACAATCTCAATCTTTACAATAGGCTATCAGTGATATTTACCTCAGGAGCTAATGGAGGGGCTGACGGCAGCGCTGCCCGCATGTCTCCGAAATTGAACATCTGAAGAATATACAAGAAAATGTACCATGTATATGGACGCAGTGGCTGAAAAACTGGCATAATTTTTGACAATTGAGCTTTCTCGATTGCATCGTATTATTAGCTACTGCCTGCAGCTTTCCCCGCATGGTATGTTGCTAAAAAGGAGCCAATGTGTTAATCCACATCATTTATCTAACTACCAAATTTCAACCAAATCGCTTAAGCCGTTTTTGCGAAAAAAATAATAACAAACATACATACGCATATACTTACTAGCTTTCGCATTTATAATATTAGTAGGGTTTAATTTTGAATAATTTACACTTTGTATAGAAAAGTTCTATATAAAAGTATCTTGGACCAAGGAAACTAGCCCCAATGGCTAATTGGACTCAATGGCTCATGGCTCGATGGGCTAATTGGACTTACCTCGCCAGGATTAGGAGCCCACACAGCGTCGGGCCGAGGTCCATACGTGTTGGCATTCACTCTGTATTCAGGCAGTAGTTCTGTTGGCATTCCAGCTGAAATATACATATATATGTGGAAATATAGACTAATGCTAGCAATTATTTATCGAGGGGCTATTATTTTTTTTTTACCAAAAAATGTTGTATTCAAATGATTCATCATCATCAGCCTATAAGTGCCCACAGCTGAGCTAAGGCCTCTTCTCACAGGAGCAAAAGGTTTATTTATTTATTAAGGTAATTACAACAGGTAACAATCAAAGCATGGTGATTACAACAGTATATAGGTTAAGTACAGATTGATACCCTAACGGAATCACACAACATGATGTATGTTCTAGAGTTAGTTTGATCATTAATCACCACTCAAGGCGGTTTGGCAATTTCAACATACAAGCGTGCTTTAAAATTTTTGTGTACATACAAAACGTACTTTAAGATTGTCTGCGTTAAGGTACCGCGACCTTTACTCAGAGAAGGAGAAGGCTTCTCCCTTCTGAAGGAGAAGGGACGAGGAGTTCATAGTAAATAAGAGTCTAACACTCCCTCTCACCTCACCTTGGGCGAGAGAACAGAAAAGAAAGAGTCATTTAAAGATTTTCCCCACACAGAAGAAGTTTTCTTTATGTACTTACGAGTGAATAAATCATCCCTGGGTGGTTGGGGGGGTTCTTGTTGCGGGTACATGTGTACATTGCTCTGTGGTGGTGGCTGTGGCACGAACGTTCTGTATTGCACCGGACCATGATGTTCCTCGGGCAACCGTGCGTTGTACCGCGGGTAAAAACGATCCCCATTCGTAGGGATCAAAATCTCCTGGCCCAGTATTATAGGATGCGGTGTGTAACTGTTGTAAAGTGGGTTATATAATTATTTTTCTATATACATTAACTTGCTTTTAGTATTCGTGTTTTTGAGTGGCTATAAGTTACTATCTGTTTGTTTAATTCTGTGAAATAATCTTTCAATCCAAAGCCGAGCTTCAAATTGCAAAAAATAATACATGAACAAAGCATTCTTAACAAAATTCATCAAGCTATATAGAAGTTTCAAGGACAGGTCGACGACCTCCTTCACTACATAGTAAGTTAAGTTGCTTTCTCTGTACCTGTCTCTGTATATTGTGGGGCAAGGTGTTCTTACTAAGTCTTGATATCAATAATAATACTTACATCGCATGGTGGCCATTGTTCACGTTTACGTGTTCCATGTCAGCTGGCATGTTTACCGGCGGCATGGCTGCAAATAAAGGTTTATTATATATTCATTATATATTTATATTTATGTATTATATTTATTATATATTGTATTATATATATTATATTTATTATATATGGGTATGTAACAGCTTTATGTTAGAATATTTGTGACGTAGCCGAATTACTGTAGTATTTATTTGCTCAAAATAAAATTATTGAGTAGTTATAAAAGGTAAGTAGCTATTTGAAAATATTGTACCCGTTTTTTAATAGCAACCAGTTGTCCAATACATTTGTAGCAACTTTTTGTTGTATCGATATTGACATTAAAAAGTTAAGTACAACAAATCTAATATTAAGTAAATCAAGGAATAAAAGTGTAATTATATTTTAATAAATCATTATATTGTAAAAGTCAAAAAACCAATTATTTTTGACCCAGGAAAATACCCAATTTTGTCACTTGGCATTAAGAAAATAAAAATGGTTAATTGTACATTTTTATCCAAAATCGAAATCTTAATTTTTCGATCGTAAATCGATAAATTTCTGTTTCGTCAATAGACTTACGTTGCACGTTGAAATGGCCCTCTAAGTGTGGTTGAGGCATGGGAAAGGGCGGGTACTGTACACCCGGCGCCGCAATCGGCATCGTGGGCCCCGGCATCGGAATTGGCTGGTTGGGGAGCAACGTCTGATTTGGCATCATTGGATACGGAAAATTGCCGTTGATCCTAAACCTGCAATATCATTTTATACTTAGACACAAAACAAAATATCATAAAATTAAATGTATATTTAATCATATGTAACAATCTATACTAATATTATAAAGAGGTAGAATTTGTAAGTTTGTATGTAGGGGGTAATCTTTGTAACGGGTAACAATGTTCCTGAGTGCTATAGGCTAACACGCTACGATTAAATGGAGCCTAAAGAGGGTGAAACCGCGCGAGAGAGCTAGTATTATTTTAATCATTAGTAAGTTGTGAGAGTGAGCACAGTCATCTTAATTCAATATTAGTATTTTATAAACTTATGTTGTAATGTTGACACTACAACAAATGGTAAGCATTTATGACGAATGAACATCATTTGACGTATTATTGTTATCTTTTTTATCTTATCCCCCTTATTAAAAAAAAAAATATCTTTAGTCCAGGTTTAAACCATTGAGTTGGGTTTTGAATTTTGAATCTTATTGTCATCTACACAGAACAGAAAAGAAAGGTCATCTACCTTCAATTCGAAATACAAAAACTGGCATAATGGTTTAGTCCTAGACTAAAGTAAAACCTTGTTTTGTAATAAGGTCGTATGAGACAATAAAGTGTAAGTTTCGCGCAGCTAGTAGGAGCTAGATTATCATTTAGGTATCGATAATGATTACAAACACTTCTGGACAAGCCAGCTTTGGTTGTATGCCCAATTAGATTAAGATTCTTCTATTACTTTTGGCATGAAAGCGAAGAGAGAAACAACATAACACAAACTTTCACATTTGTAATATAACGTGGAAACAATGGTTCCTATAAGAAGATATATCTTTGACAATATCGCAAGCATAGCCATATTAAATTAAAAAAAAATATCGCTTTGGTATACTGAACGCAAGCAAGCTGTGTGCTAAATTAAATAATTCGCAAGCTGAGCTTTAAGATACATGTCTAGTTTATAACTTTGTCGTGGTAACTTTTCTTAATAGATATCCAAGAAAGAAACATTCACCCGTAGAGTTACTTAAAAGGACTCGACGGTAGAAAGAAATGTTTACAACACACTTTTTGAACTGCCATGTCTCCTAAATTATTCACAATTTCATCTTTGTCAAGTTGAAAATCATGCTATAAGTTTTCACAAAGTCAAAGGAAAATTTCTGATAGGAAAATTGGATTCACTGTTCTACTAGTATATATAGTATATATTCGCAATCGCAAACTTTTTTGTATTTAATTTTATAAGTAGTTCTATAGATGAGTAATAAACAAACAGACAAATGAGACTTAATTTTAAGACATGAAATGATAAAGATAGCGTGACATGAAGTTCAACAATCGAGTTACATTTCAGTATTTATTGAAGTTGACTTTTGATATGGACAGGCGTGGTCTATCGTAAACGCATTTTCGTTGACCACCAGGCAAAATAGAGGTCACAATTGCCCATTTCAAACAAAAGAAAATACATGTATAAAACATTAAAAAGAAAATGAATAAAAATGAATTTCCCACTACGAAGTTATCTGGGACTATTTAAGTGTTTACCTTTCCATTTCCTCCTCGGAGTGGGCGAAGGTACAGGAGTTCCCTCGAGGGCAGAAGGAACGCGTGGCCGCGTCTCTGCACATCGATACTTTGTATTTGTTGTGAGTTGGCGTCGACGCCGCCGTCTGAGGTGACCCTTGACCTGCGCAAGTTATAACATGTTGTGACTTGTTTTGTCGGCAATAAAGAAGTTTTTTGAAAGACATTATTAATTAAATTGAAGAGAAAAGATAAGCAGGTTTGTTCCATTTTGCCCGTTAAATTTATCTAATTGCATATTCTCTATTACCTGAAGATATGTTAGTGTGTAAAAGAAGAATAATACAGTACTTTCCTAGGTCAAAATTAAGGTGACTATTTTTACTAATTAATTAACTTAAAAAAAATAAGTACACGGTCTTCGTAACACATTATAACGTCAAATGTTGCGATATCAATAAAAATATTGAATTTGTTTAGTTGAAAACTACCAAATTATGTATTTATTAAAAGCTTGATGTGTTTTTCAGATATATGTAGTCCATACTGCCGATCTAAAAGATACTCATATCGCGAAAAGAACCAACAGTATCTGTATTATGTTCAGAAGTCATAGACGACTAATAAGAAAAAGATGTCCACACCAGGTGTATTTAAAAAAGGTGGCGCTGTATGTGAAAAAAACTTTTTTCTGTTGAAATTTTTTCTGAACTTTTTTTGTTATAAACCTCACCGTGGAAATCGGTTCGTGCGCTCTGGAGTTACAGCGTCACGAAGGAAAACCCGACTTATTTTTATATAGTAGATAAGCACTTACTGGCATTATTATCCAAACACCGTTCGGGTACAGGATGTTGCTTCTGGTTATGGTTGGAATCCCGACCGGTGGCTTGTTGTTGCAAGTAGTGTATGAGGCCGGCCACGACCTCTTTGAGTGACGTCATCACCTCAGCTAATTGCTGCCAAGATGGGTTCTTCGCGTCTAGAATACATTTCGTAGAGATCTCGTAAATTAAAAAAATATTAAGTTAATATAGGTATTGGTTTAATGACAAAATCAATTTAATCTCTTGTCAAGTCATCTGATTGGTTGACTGAATTATCAACAACCAATCAAATGACTTCAAGAGGTTTGACACCTGGTTGGTTAATTTTAACATTAATCGGGCTTTCGGAAACTGGGCATAAGTAGACTTGTTTTTAGCCAAGATTGAACTACAACACATAAATATAGGTGTCATGTATATTATAAAATTCTAATTAAATTAAGATGCGTGGAGTTACTTGGTCATCACTAAGGGTTGCTCTTATACATTTGCTTAGGCGTGACGTCATGACAATCAATCCGTAAGACCGGAAAGGAACGCTTTGCACTGTGGTTTCGGTTCGATCAATGATCTCATAAAAAACAATTGTGCGAGCTTAGAACTACATGTTTTCTGTTACATATAGTTCTTTATTATATTTTCAACTTTATTGTCTTTACATTATAGAACCGAAAATCCAAAAAACGCACTGACTACAAAAATTGTTTACGCCCGATCTTATAAAACAACAATTGTGCGAGCTTAGACCTTTTTTCTGTCAGAAACTTTTATTAAATATTTAAATTTATTGTTTTGTTAAAAAAATGAAAATCCATCGAAAAATACCTGAAATATTCTAGTACGAGTAGTGTATTAGAAAATAGTGTAAATGAATTGATAAATACCAGGGCTAGCGTCGATATTCGCTAGTCTATCGAGATGCAGACTCATGACTATGAGTTGCGCCGGATCACCAGTTCTTTGCAACGCTATGAACAACTCCTGGACTGATTGGGCGAACGATTGCGGCGTTTGCAATTTGTCTGAAATATAGATAATATTTAGATGGAAAACACACGTTCATTACTTATATAAATAAAAAAGCACTATGGTCTATCTAGGTGGTTTACTAAACGTAAACAATATTGGTATATCTATTAATATACAAGAGAGTTTATTAGTAAACATCTGATTGTAAACACATCTACATAGATTTTTTAGACAACTTTTAGATAAAACAAAAAGACATGCCAGGATTGATCACATTTAGTGAATTTCTTAACGAGATAGGCCATAGGTTAAATCAATGGCCTTGGTTACACATTTTTATTCAGCCAAAAATATCAAGTCTTCAGGTGAAATCGCAGTAGAGCAATCGTCTAGTGTTGCACAAGAGTCGATTACCATGTTCATATAAACTTAAGCCTTATAAATTAAATTAAGGTATGTGGAACTGTCATCTTTAAGTGCCATTGTTGAGCAAAGACCTCTTTACACACGGAAGAAGGTTTGAGCATTAATCACTACGCTTGTTTAAGGCAGATTGACAATTTCAAAATTAGAATAAATAACATTAGGAAGTACATATAAATGGGAAATGGTCACATTGTTACTTGGCCGCTCTACTGGAACGGTAATTATATTTCTTAGATAACAAGGCGATTTTTATTATACATAATTATATTCTAGTTCAAACGTACCTATAATGCTTTGCATATGACTTTTGTGGGCGGTGTCTCCGTAGAGCAGCGCACTCCATTGGTCGGGAGCTATTCTAAGCCCCGCCTCCGTTGCAATTTGAACTATCTGCGCGTCGTGTTCGCGTCTTAACGACTCGTACGTTCGGAATTCTTCTTTTAATTGCATTAGAGATGAATCGCATTCGCGTTTTGATACCTGAGAAAAAAAAGAAATGTTTGAAATACTTCCTCTAGACTTGAGCCTACCTAGCTTTTGGCTACAAGAACCTGTCCTTTATTTTAACCATCCAACAAATTTAGTTGGAAGATTTTATATTTAAATTTATCTAGTAAATAATAACTATTAAAAGTATGCGAAATCAGGAGGGATCGCAGTCAAGCACTGGTTTATTGCAAGTAAAAAAAAAAAAAGAAATAGGTCTATTGTATTCTAACACCTGCACACTTTATACATCATGTGTTTGGAAGTTTAGGGTAGCTTGATTTTTTGTTTCAAATTTAAAATCCTTGTATAGAGTGAAAAGAGGACTTTCTAAATGCTTTCTTTATCTCAAAAATGATATACAAATCAAAAGGAGGTAACATTGTCATTATGCTACTAAGTCTATTTACAATATCTTAGTAGCAGCTCTCACCAATGCATTTTCTACGAATTTTGTATTTGTCTCAGGATTGAGTTAAGAGTTGATATTTGAAAGTGAAATTTACAATCTATAAATATTAGTTAATGTAATTCCATTTCAATAAGGACGGGCTTTGTGACTTATGTTTAAGTATAACTACAATAGTTTTGATCAAATCATATAAAAAAAAACAAGTATCCATCCATCCAAAGAAAATTCAATAAAGTTAAGCTGGTTCTTATCAACTGAACCAGACACACTGATTAAGAGAAAGTACCCATAAATGACTTATGTTAACTTACCTTAGGACTTACCTTAAAGCAAGAAGCTCTGTAAAGGAGCTGGACGACATGGCCTATGCTAGTTTTAGAAGCCTGCGGAAAATGAGGCTCCAGTCTTTGGACAACAAACATCACTAACACCTGAAAGAGATAAATACAATTAAAATGCAACTCTCTTAAATTTATTAAAAAACTAGCAGTTCGCCCCTGCTTGGCACGGGTCTCATCATCTCGCTTACGATGAAAGGGTCCCTATTACCCAACTCTCCCCTCTACTTTTCTAAAATTTTCTTACATAAGAACTTTCTCCTGACACACACATAACAAAAAAAGGATCAGTAGAATTGGTCCAGGCGTTATTGAGTTATGCGTTTACCAACATATTTTACGATTCATTTTTATATATATAGATTATTTGGCAAATTAAGATTATGTGGGAGAGCCATGGCACGAATGGGTCAGCTCGACCGGAGTGATACCACGGCCTCACAGAAATCCGGCGTGAAACATCGCCCGTGTTGTGTCTCACCGTGTGATTGCGGTACCGGAGGTCCATTTCTTCCCCTTTCCTTATCCCTAAATCTCCAAATCCCTTACCTACAAAAGGTAGGCAAAGCACTCGTACTCCACAGGCGGCGGCGCTGATTGCTAACCATGAGGTTATCCGTTTGCTAGTTTACTGACCTATCATACAACAAACATGTGTATGGCTTAGTGTTTACCTTTCTGGATAATGCAGAACCGTCTTCGAGAGCCAGGAGTACCAGCTTGAGGACTTCCTCTTGCATCGCCGGCCCGAGGAACTGACAGCCGCGCGCTCTCACTGCCGCCCACAGGTTCGCGCTCAACTGCTGCGGGTTCTACAGGGTATTAAAATTCAAATCACAATTACAATTCAAAATCAAAAACATTTCAAATATACCCTTACAGCTTTAGGCACCTTTGAAACTCAAACAAAGCTTTAAGATTAAAAATTGACAGTCTATTGGTCAGTCCTATTAGTACAGCTATTAGCTCGTTCCAAAGTGTAGAATCCGATGGAGAAGAACGAGTAAGAAACTCCATGGTTACTTTTATTCAATCAATTTCACATACAGATTCTTTCTTACACTATTGTGTGAGAACAGGGCGACACTAATATGATTGATTGAAGAGGAAAGTTTATATGGATAGTAAAATAAATTTTTTTGACTAAGTTTTTACAGATATGATGTCTACGACACCCTTGTTCGGATGCAAAAAAGTTCTATTCAAAACAAAACATATTTAAATCAGTTTATGAAACTTTAACGCACATTTCTGTATAAATAAGAATGCATTTCGCGATCATTGTCTGTGTTTATTCTGGCAGCAGTAATGTATAGTGACGGATTCACATTAAGACTGTGACGCAAATTGCCATCGCCCGTACATAATTGAGTTGGAACCAAGGGACGTCTGACTTGTTTTGGGCGTCATAAGACTTGAGTAGCAGACGTTTTGCATATTAAGTGTGGTGTGTAGTGGTAAACTTTTTTGTTTACTGGTTTATTTCGTAAACAAAGCTGCCTTTATTTACTATGTATGTGTCTTTATTTATTATGGCTTCATACACAAGAAAATGTACATAAGGTGGACTAAATAGTTTAAGCATTCTCTGCCAGTCTGTCTTTTGGGTGATGCAGAGAAGATTACCGATGGCATAGGCAAGAAACAAGCAGGATATTTATTGAAAGTATAAGTACTTATTACACGATAAAACTACACATAAAATCTTTAATTGACGAAGTACACATACATTTGTTATTCATAACGATTTCTTAAAGAAGTTCGGTATATATGCATAAGTACGGATGCAAAACTATTTTTATTTGTTTTTTTGTTCCATCAACTTCGTTTAAGTTCCTGTCAAACGTTTGTAGTACATAGTAGAATTTAAATTTATCTGGTACACAATGGCTATTTAGATTTTATATAAAGCCCATCTCATCAGAGCAACAGTGATGTCGACTAAATCAAACTAACTACAAAAACGACGTGTAAAATTGAGCGAATAATATATACGTATAGAAAGATACATGTATAGTAATACAGTCCTAATAATGAATCTTATTATAAATTCTTAAAATGGTAGAAAAGGGCATACTTATATATTTATGACTCCGTACCATTATTAATTATAAGGCATATCAACATGTTCAACTCAGAATCAGCTCCGTATAATCCTAATCCCCGTGGGTTCATAGTACATAACATAAAGTGAGAAGGGATGTCAGATTATTCAAAGTTTGATGGACCCATAACCCCTTCCTATTTGTAGATGCTTTAAGTGTAACATAATATGATTTTAATCCTTCAGTTGAAATTTTGTTAAGCACGGTAGCACATTTCTACTTCTCGCCAGTCAAGTCCCACATTGTTTGTATTAGTAATACACGCGGTATAAAAAGCAAAATCCCTTACGACGAATTTAGACACTGGAAAAACTTAAAGGAAATACTTTAGCCGTAGAAAACCTTAGCAACATATAGAATCGTGGCTGTTGGCATTTCATACTATGAAAACTAACATCTAAAATTATTAGGGTAAGGATAACGTTGAGGATATAAGAAGAGAAATTGTTACCTGATGTTGCAATATCAGTTCGGTGACGGTCCTTTCGCCAAGGGATCGCGCTGCTCGCGCCGCCCTGCCTCTCCCCTCCTCGTCGGTGACGGCACACTGCAGCAACATGACCAGCTTCCTCTGCATGGGCCGAGAAAGCCGGCTACCAGCCATACTATTGTTGGCTGGAAAACAAAACATAAACAAGAATGGCATCATTCGGCGTAAAGGACTAAGCGCAGGTCTTGGCAGTTGAATCTTTGAGCTGATAATATCGAGTTTAGGTCATTTGCTTATTGTAGGATCAAACAAGCGCGGTATTTGTTTGTGGAGGCAAAATAATCAGATGTCTTCTTGCACAGCGTAAGAGAGATTGTCAAACTTAACTGACTAAAAACCAACCCGTCCTTCTAGTTCTCCGGGCAGGTACATTATTGCCCTTGCACCCGGCCGAAAACAGTCCATCCCAGACTTCGACAATACAACTTAGTTATTATATTACGTAATTACTTATTTAGGGAAAGTCCAACGGCATAACAAGACATTGATTACGATTCTCATAAATTGGTGACACGTTATATAAAGGTACTCCAGGAAGAATAAGAACTTGATTGGTCATTTGGACAAAAATAAATTATTTGGTGTCTAGAATATTTTGTGTTAGAGACAACGCGAGATGTCCATCAAAACTACGATAAAATACAATGTAAAACAAGATGTTTAGCAAGAGTATTTTCAGCCAAGTTAAAAACTTGCAGTTTGCTTAAGAATGCACGCTTATTTTAGTTTCAATAGCTTACCTTCGTCTGCAAAATTTTAGAGGGAGCTCTGTAAATAGGAACTGCGTTAAAAATAGCAACACAAAGTACCGAACAAAGTTTGTTGTCTAAGTTTCAAGACTCTTCTTAAGCGCCATAAATATTTTAAATTCTTTTACTAGAAACAAAGTACCGAGAAACATAGGAATAGGTAAGAACAAGAACTTTGAAAGAAAATATTATAATAAGGTCTAAGATAAAACTTGAGCATGTCATATTTTTCTGTGCATCATCTAAATGATAGTTCTGACTCACTGACTCGTCACCATCCCTGTCTTGAGGAATGAAAACATGCTATTTGCGCAAATCTTGAATAATAAAGAGATGTATCTACAATTTAAAAAAAACATGAGCAAACCACTAGGCTTGCAGAATGCTTACGTGATGAATCAAAGAGGATGGGTTTATAACCATGTAGACGACATGATTCCAATCTAGTTAGGCGATGTCGCTGCGGCAGAAAGTCTTGGCCAAATGCTGTTACCGTCAAACTGATCCGATTATGGTATTGATCTAGAAACGTTGCTCTGCACTAGCATTTGACCTACCTAAATCTGTAGACTGTTCGAAACACAGCGTAAACACTACATTTAATAATATTATAATACTAGTCTACTAAGTACGCCTCGAACATCATATTCATTACAATTTTATTAATTTTCCTGGAAGTACGGATTACAGTACGTATTGTAGGAACGAGATAAAAGATTTAATCATCCCAGACGCGCAAGACAGGGAAAAAGGAAATTAGTTCTAGCTTACTTCACAACACTAAATTGAATACTCAAAATATCCTTTTATCTAGCAGCATAAGTTGATACGAAAATCCTAAGTTTTAGCTAATTGTGAGTGAACAATTATTAAATGCCGTCTGTATTAAGAAGCTACCACCAAAGTCCATAGAGGTATAATATAAGCAAAAGTACGAGTTTGTCTACATTTACTTAGAGGTGTAACAAAAAGTTTTAATTTATTTGCGAGGAACTCCTTGATCTCCATGTCCTTATATAGTGAGAATTTTGATGGACTTATATTGGGATATTCAGATATGTATATACGTACAATTTACTATACTCTTTAGTGGATAAATGACATATTTTAATAGAAATAACTTGTTTACGTTTACAATAAAAGTATTTTATGTTCTGTAGCGATAAGACATAATTGAATTGATATAATAAAAGAATATAACGCAACTTAATGAACGGTACCACCAAGGAAGAGTATTGTTAGACTTATATATATATACATAAATATATATATATATATATATATATATATATATATATATATATATATATATATATATATATTTATGTATATATATGCCTTCGTTTAGTAGGTATGTGAAACCCCTTGATTGAAATCTATATTCTATTTATCTTAAAGATGACTTTTTAGTTAGAAGACACAAATCGTGCCCATTGTGTATGTTCAATTATTTGTTAAACAAAACATTACTGATTTAGTGTTATAATTTTTATTTTCACTTTACCGACTTAAAGGAATTTGTAAAGTCGTATTATTTTAATAAAAGATTATAACTATCTACGATGGAGTTGATAAAGTCCGCTGCTAAATGTTAAAAGTTAATGGTGAAAAACTAATAATTAGTAATCCGCCAGTTTGGCTATCTGTAAATGCCCTTAGTTCCTACGCAACTCTAACGAAACGTGTCTACCACACTTGAGCACCTTCCTTACACCACTTACCACTACCCTGGAAATGGACATAAAAAAGGTTAACACATTCAGTGCCCCCGACGCGTATGTGCGTGCGAGGAAACGCACATACGCGTCGGGGGCACTGAATGTGTTAAATAGGTACTCACCATTGCCGCAATACTTGAGGTAAACAGCGAGGTGTTCCATGCACTTGACGATGCAGTCGTAAGCCTGTTTGTCATGATCGGGGAGCGCCTGTATCGAAGGTGGGTGGTACGGCTGCGCCGGGGGTGTGTACCCGGCGAGTTGGAGTAGAGCCGTATTCACCACCAACTCTTCCGGATCGACCTGGATCACAGCCTGCGGGAGAAAAAATTTACTATAAGAATGATTAAGTCAACATTTTGCTTTGGACGAGTATATCTAGATATTGAAATCGTTCTTTGTCTTAAATTGGTGACATTAGCAAGAGTTGTATGAACTATGAACTAAACTTGGCTCTTTTTGATTTATCTATACTAATATTATACAGAGGTAAAAAGTGTAATTTTGTATGGAGTGGGTAATCTTTGGAGTCGCTGGTCGGATTTCCAAAATTCTTTCACTAATAGATAGTTACAATATTCCTGAGTGAGGAATATTGTAACTATCTATTAGTGAGGGCTATAAAAGATCACGCTACGATTAAATGGAGCGGAGCAGAGGGTGAAACCGCGCGAGAGTAGCTAGTTGAAAATAAAGTCTGACAGATGATTCTATTTTGATTTTCTGGTTTAGTTGGAATAAACGATTTTGACTTTGATAAAAATAATTATCTGACAAAGGCTCTTCTAGATCCAACAAAGGTTGGCACGGTGGCTGGGCAACTAGCTGCCTCGCAATGTGTTGCGGGTTCGATCCCCCACGGAACAACTCTTTATGTAATCCACAAATTGTTGTACCGGGCCTAGGTGTCATGTGGATGTGAAATTGTATGTTTATAAACGCACCTACAGCACAGAAGAAACAATGTGATATTTGTTACTGATGATCCATCCGACGGATATCTAGGACCCTTTTAAAAAACTACATTGAATGCCCCATTGCAGTAATAATAATAGAATGCTGGATAACCCTACGTTTATTAACGTCCCCAACACGCGCCTGTTTCGGATTACAAAGTATGTAGTTATTAGGAATAATTAAGGGCTTAGGCTTACATAATTTGATGCACACGATCAGATTAATCGCAACAAAAGGTTATTAAAAAGAGTATTCAGTTATGAAGCATAGGTATTATTATTCGCTCGCCCTCGTATATGGATTAATTTTCCGTCCGTCTATCATTTGTGAGTAGGTACTCCATGTCGCATTTACATCACACGCACACATTGACAGGGGAGGGGAAAATCATCCGTACGGTCTGAGCGACACGTGATCGCCGATTAGAAAACATTCGTAATCGTATACGTAACGGGAATACTTCTATTATTAAAACGTTTATGAAACGAAAAAATTGAAAGACAGTATTGGGTTATAAAGAGGTACTATTTAAAAATGTAAGACGAAGCTTATGCTCCAGGCCACATTGAAGATGGTAGGATTGTCTTCAACCTGCAGGACAATAAAGACTAAAAACCCGAGTGGTTTATATAAAGGCTAGTGCCAAACGTATAATTTTTGTTATTATGAACCCACTGTGACACGAACGATCACATTCCAGACTTACAGATAGTTAAAAGTACCCTAGTGCTTATTGCATCACGTTTTATTGCCGAGGGCTCAAGAAATAGTTACGGACAGAGATCCATTCAATGAAATCTCTAACTCCTAACCATTAAGGACTTGTATCGCCCTTCACCAGTTACGATGACTAAAACCAATCACACATATCTTATTACATTGCAAAACATATACGAAAAACATTGTTAATCGCCACTATACTTGAGGATTGCCAAACTGCAATCTGTTATCAGATCTTGATTTCATGCCAATAAGACCAGTACTTAAGAAGCAAATTCTATTGTTTTCAGAAAAACACAATCTGTGCACAAACACATAACTATTTTTTTTTTTTGGAGTTGTCAAAAATCTAAAATAATTTGCGACTAGTTTATTATATCCGTGTGTTATGGTCTACGCTATTGATTCGCAGACATCTGAAACCCCATTAAATCTCCCCTTTGTGAAACACGGGATACTTTTTGACTTAGCTATGATTAGGTTGCAGACACAGTCTCCCTTAGTGACCACTCATACACACGAAGCTGGCTTTAATAAATCCCGATTCGCCCTTCAAAATAATAAGCCCTTCGTTATAATGGCAAGAGGGTCGACTAAATGAAAGCATTTGACGTACCATGCTAAGGTGGGGACAGACGTTAATTATATTGTGTATTTGTTTGTAAACAATTATAATTTTGAACAAAGGTTATTTGAAATACAATACAATACGTGGAAATTTTTGATACTTCTTTAAAGATCAAAAACATTTTTTGGGCAGTCGTGTAAAAACAGATAGATCATCTATTGATCTAGTTCGGTTTTTGGCATTCTCGTTAAATCCAAGTAATTTTACTATAAATTTATAATTAATATTAACAAGATTTTGATTGTTGAAAATACATAGTTACTTTTATGTAACGCATAATGTGAAGAAACATTTGCAACATACGATGTGATTGGCATTTGTACTTGGTAATAACAAGAGACTAAATGACAGGGTGGCAACAAAAAAAACATGGTTCTATTCCCCCCGTGCTGCACTGAAAGCCCTTGAACGGCTGGGTGAGTTTTATAAATTAGGTACTCTTATTAACCAGCGTTGAACAGAGGGTCGATAGAGTTTATTACAATGAAAGCATGGAGAATCCCGCGATCAAATGTCGAGATCGAAAGATAGGGTTGGCTTTACATGTTTTGTGGCATACTGATCTGATGAATTAAAAATAAATTGTAGCACTTCAATTATCAAGATAAGTGAAATAAAGATGAATAGCACTTAATTTACTCAATCAGTACAAAAATGTTTCAGGTATAAATAAAGTAAGGTTTAAGAAAATAACTATAGAAAACCTGCATAGCCGAAAATAGGCAGTTGAATTTCGTGATGTTCTGCATAATTACCAATATATCCTTAATATGCACAGTTTGTTTATTTTAACATAATTAATGAAGATGATACACACTTTTATATGCACAACCATTTACTCCTAACGCTGTAGACGTTCTTCTTGTACTTCTTCTTGGAAACTACTAGCCAAAGGGCCGAGACTGCCAAAACAAGAATTTCGCAAAAGAATGGTCGTAGACTTCAATAGCACAATAACTAAAAACAAACCATTCTACTTCCGTTTTAGAGTCATGTTTGGAAACGCATTTTCAGGACAATGGTAATTGATGAACATAAATATGACCACACACATGAGTTATTTGGTGATGTTGAATCGAAAATCCCATCTTAGAGTATTTACACAGAATTACTTGTGAAGGGTATATGAATTGAGGGTTCAAAACGGGTAAAACCGTTTTAAAATTTGCGACTAATATGAGAAATTAATATCAAATAAGGTCATTGAAAACATTTGATGACATACAAAGATACGCCTAGTTCGTATCGAAGTTGGACCAGTCCCAAGCAGTCAAATATCAATCCATGAGATATAAGCACGATTCGTATTGATGTAGGGATCAAATAAACACTTTTGGTAATAAATTATGTGGTGCATATGCACAAAAAGCTGTATTTTTAAAGATTTGTTTTTTACACTTATAAGTAAAAGTTGTGGATTACCAAGTCGCTTCTAAGGAAAATGTAATTAATAAACAGTTTCCTAAACGATTCACAATCTACTTTAAATAACACTGGTGTCATAATAGCAGTAGAAAGTAAAATCAATGTCAGTTGCACCGAGTCTGGGTTTAAGAAATGTCTTTTGGCAGATAAGGGACATGCGTTGAGATCTGTGATCGTCCGATAACACAGGGCCTATTATGAGAACCTGCGTGCGCTACGCACCCAAAAAACTTACTATAGACCAGGTCCGTGATCCCTGTACAATTTCTGCCACTTATTACATGGAAAATACAATCAGACCCACGAGGGCTGATTTCCAGCTAGCGATGTAAGTACAATGATGTGACGCAGCCCGGCTTGAAGCAGGAGAAGGAATGGGGTAGCAGTTCTTAAGTCTAGAGAGTCTAGACACTCTTTCGCCGCAAGACTTCCAACAGGGCTTCCCTAACACAGAGGCAGAGCGGGAGCAGTGACTACACCTTTAGAAAACAAGCGGGTATTCTGTGAGGCCAAGGTCTTACTTCGATCGAGCTGACCCATTTGTGCCGAAGCATGGCTCTCCACACTTAAAAGTTGATACTAATCATATGCTATTTTTCGGCATTTATAACTAAATATATGTACGTATAAGTATGAAATCGACAATATATTGCGGTTTAACGATTCAAAAGTGAATGATCTTAAAGAGATCCTATTATGTGCAACCGTTCCACAATGAGGCGATCTCTGTCAGTTTGATATCATAAAACATAATATAAGGCACGTATTACCTTATATAGGTAATAAGTTACTTTTTATAAGTTGAAAGTTTTGCAAGGGCTGGCCGTGATAGACGAAAGAAAACAAAGGTAAAAATATGAAGATAAAATGTATTTTGTCTGCGCAATTAGCCGAAAGTGGAACACAAAGATGAATTCGCAAATGCTGAATATCATTAGGACTCGGATTTGACCATATGTTTGAACAAAACATAAGCTTCTAGATGGTGGTAAGGTATAGTGAAAAAGCATAACGTACTATGAGGTGTTAGTACTATTACACTACGAACATTATATTATGTTTATATACATTCTGTCTGAACCTCCAGGGAATACAACAGACACTAGCTCTATGGAGCTACTTCGAAAAACTCAGGAATCATAGTCCGTCGTACCAACCCTTAATCGGTTCAGTGAACCGCGCTTTCGGCGATTGTTTGTCGTAGTAAACAATCGAATACGTACGAATACAACTCGTTCTAAAGTTCGTTCGTAAGTTCGTCTCTCTTATAATTCCACTCCACTAATTAATTACCAAAAATTAAAAATAAGACATATTTACGTAAGCTGTCTAATATTTACCTTTGTAATATTTATCTTAAATCATATTTCTAATACAAATTAAAGTACTTCGTTCTTTTCGTAAATTAGATAGTGTAATTTAAGCTTGCAATAAATTGTTATAATCATCAAATCAACAAGGGGCGGTCCCTTAACAATTCATAGATAACATGGTTACCCTAAATTGGGCAAAGATTACAGGGCGCAGACGAAAACCATACTTATGACGCACGTGCGTTATTCCGAACATTTGTATGTTTTCACACTAACATAGAAACACGTGTTGGGCGGAAAATTCTCTAATTAAGCTAATAACTGCGATGTTGCTTTAGCAACACAGAGAAATTTATATTTAAACAAACATGAAAGACACATTTGACGGAATGGGGTTTTTTTTTATAACAAATAGGAGTACATACATCCAAACGAGCGAGTAAAGTAGGCAGATGATCACTCCACACAAAGTCTTTCTTGGGTGCTCGCCTCTTAGGCCGCCGCCGTCCCATAGTTGGAGAAAGGGCAAAGTATTGAAGACCGTACAGTTCTAGCTACTTGGAATAAATCCTGGGTCCAAAGCAACCACGGCACACACATCTCAAATGGACAACAAAGAACGTGTCCAACAACCATACTGCACAAATCGCTGAATGACACGCTACTGAGTATCTAAAGACGCTGCGCTGACCCAATTCATCACTCATCTCAATAGATCCTCCGCCTCTTGTCAATTATGGAATACGGACATATAAAAAAAATGTTTCCTATAAAAAGTAATAATTAAAACAAAACGTGGCGTTGGGGACCGATCCATACCTACATTATATTATCAACTACATATTTCTATTTTGTCGGGGGTCTAATTTATTTTCTTATTTTATACTTTTTATATCATTGCTTCGATAAAGTCGTCAACATTCCCTTTCAGTGCGCTTTCATTTGAGACCCCACTACTTCTAAACGGCTCAACCGATTTTCGTCAAACATGACTAAGAACACTAGCACGTAAGTCACCTTTAATACAAAAGAAACTAAATTGAAATCACTTCACCAGTTCAGACTCCAGGATGCCACAGACAGACAGACACGTCAAACTTATAACACCCCTCTTTTTGTGTCGGGGGTTAAAAAGAAAGTTCCGTTGAAGCTTTTTTCCTAATATGCCTTTATAACCATCACAACTATAAATGCATGTATTGAATGTTGGTAAACAGTAATTCTTCCAGCGGCTCCTCTGCCTTAAAATGTGCTTTTTTTAAGATTGTATTTGATTTTCGGGTGAAGAAAATTTCGATTTAATCAGTAAAATGACCTTTCAGTGCTTGTTAAGCAAGATATTAGAACATTTAATGCATGGGGTTGTCACAATATTTACGTTAAACCCAGCCAATATAAATTCTGTGTACATCACACGGTTCTAATTTTGTTGCCCGGGTAATCAGGTTTATGCTTCAACTTCATCAGAACATTGATCAACTCAAGAAAATTAATCTGATAACCTCTCCGCGTACTTTATAGGATTTATTTTTTAAGCTTGTTGCAATATTGCTTGAGCTCTATATTTATATTGGAAATTCATTTTATCAATAAAAAAAATGGGAGTAACTTCTTCTAAATATTGCAAGTCCACAGAGTATTCGAATATTTTATCAGATTTTGGACGTGTTTACCTTTGTCAAGGTCACACAGTGTTGTTTGGGGTAAGTTTTAGGTTTCAGTGTTATAGCGCGTGGGAAGGCGTCGGCTGCTCCCTGTTTAGTAAACATAAACTAGACGGAGTATGTAATTTGCCTCACCTAGCAAACATTTTTAGGCTTTATTTTATACCTTCAATTACGCTGAACGTTATACATAATTACAAGGCAAATCACAATACCTTTAATATGTATACGAAACTACATAATTACGAAATAAAATTATGTATGAACCAAATTTTAATCGTAAAATATCGGAGTATGACTGTACAACCGCATCATGCTGATTTCGGAACAATTGGGTTACGAGGTAAATGATATACTTACGCAGAGTATTCTATTCATGAGGTGGTTGCTGAAGAACTTGATCAGCCAAGTGTGGATCCATGCCCAAACATATACGTAATGTAAAGGTAGACAATCCATGGTTAGGCAGTGCGTGACAGAGGACGACTTTAAAATATCGATTACTACAAATTAACCTTGACGCTTAAATTCAAATAAGTATACTTAAATATACAGGCACGGAAACCGACTGAAAGTTCCGGAACAAGAATATACTTAATTAGGAATGTTATTGACTGGTTGAAATCCAAAAAAATACTGAACCGCTAGGGGAATATTTTAACATCGTTTCAGAACAGGATTAAGCAACAGAGTCCTTCCACGTGCAGACCCCTCTCATTCCCCTTCAATTGGCATACTCGAACACGTGGATAGCACAAGTATATGCTAAATGGGTAACGAGAAAGGAGTATTTATAAGTTATCAGCAACTTTTCGGGACAGGTACAAAAGAAATAATTTTTCGTAAACAATTAAACGTCTATATTGTATGGAGCTATTTATGAACTTTGGCATGAGACCTTTGGAAATAAAACAATTTTTAAGAAGCGTAATAATAATTATAGATCGTCACGTGGTGCGAATGACCGTCATAAAAATACGAATATAGCCCTTACATTATGAAGAGTAAAAGGTAAACTATTTGACAACATTTGTTTCTACCCATTAACATCTAAGTAAAGTATAATATATAGCTTCTGCCAGCAGATTTGGCAGCCTTACCTGGGCGTACAGAAGTCTATGCGTTATTTCAGTCTATAATCTGTCCCATTTGCATTAAAATCTCTCGAACTTTTTACGTGAAAGAGTAAAGCATCCATCCATCAAACTTTCGCATTTATAATAATTATTAGTAGGATTTACAGATCATTTTCCCTTTTCGCCTTGATTAAAGATCACACAATAAGTTGTAAATGAAGGAAGACATATTCCAAGGCCAATATCACGATACAGGATGGCCAATGACGCCATAAGATGGATTTACATGCGTCTGTCTGTAAAGAGTTCGTCTTTTGCCTAATTTATACAGAATTTGAAGCGGACTGCATCTAAAAACGGCTGGGAGGTTGTTTACTTGGAAGTTATACATAAAACATTCATGAAATGTCCTTACTTGAACTTATGGTCAGTATGTTTTAATATCATTGAGATTTTTGCAGATGTATCGAGAAGCTGTCGGTAGATTTGTCACATTTTTTTATGGAGTTCACGTCAAAAATATATCTTGGTAAGAATATTTCTTAAGTAGAAATAAAACTGCAGATAGGTTTTTCAAACTGGCTATATAGTATCTTTCAGATTCGCGAAATGTCAAGCTTATACATTTATTAAAATTCAATGGTTGCCAGTTCATTTAATATTTTATTACAAAAATTTGAAACTCATAGATCAGGGTATACTTGGCAGTATAGACTTTTAAGAAATTTAGACCGTAGACGTTTTAAGATAGACCCTATTTATAAAACCAAAGCTTCTTGAGCATAAAAGGAGAAACAAAAGGTAAAGTTGATAGGCAGCGGAAAATTTATAAAATACATCAATAGCTGCTTCATTGTTTGAGACAGAAATAAGACTAATACAATATTGGATAAAAGATAACGTTTTTTGAAGAAATGACAATACTTTTAATTTGTTTTGCTTACAAACGGAGTCCCTAAATGAAATAATTTGATTTTCCTCGTACGACCTCTATGTAGAGGGTTAAATCACATTTCACTAGTGAGGTTAGTCGTTCGTTAAGTTAGCTCCGGATTCAAATGTAGCCTTCGTAAACGAAAATCCTAATAATATATTTGATAAAACCCCTGTTGATTGTACTGTTTGTTGGACTTGTGGTTTTTGTAATACATGCTAGTAGAGCATATAACATACAATACTTTTAAAACCTTTAAAAACTTTTCCCCACCCTAAGATTTCCTCCTGTATCGTAAGTGCATTTAGAAATATACAAGTTCACAATACACCTAAACTCGGAACAACAATCTGTGAAGCACAAAGAGATGTTCCGTGCGGAAACCGAATCTTTTATTATTTATCAAATATTGATGTGCTTACCTGGTCGAACGGGCATTGTTTTCTGTGTAAGTGTTTGAGGCAGTGTCTACATAGTGTGTGGCCGCACCCAAGGCTAATGGGACTGCGGGGCGGAGCGCCAAATTCGCGGCAGCACACTGGACAGTTCAAATAATCCGTCCATTGAGGCGCCTGGATTGGCATTCTGAAACAAAACACATACATCAGCATCGTCATCATTAGCAGCTGAAAACGCTTCTTATAAAGGAAGACGAAATAATATTTTTGTTTGCAAACCAGCAGATGGATTTCCTGATGGTAAGCAAGCAACGCCGCCAACTCTTCCGTTAAGACTTACAAGTGCGTTGCCGACCTTTTGGAGATTAGTTTTGGGGAATTTGAGATTAGGATTAGGGGGAGGGGAAGGATTGTCCGACGAAACACAACGCTATGGTTGTTTCACGCCGGTTTTGCCGGTTGTGCCGAAGCATGGTTCTCCCACACTTCAAATTACCCTTAGAAGGTGGCTTGTGTATCGTCAATTATCGAAAAAGGATGTCACAGTGGTCACAGTTTTAGGAAATACCCGAGTTCATACATTACCATGAATCAATACTCAATGAATTCGCATCGGGTATTGTAATAATATGATAAACTTGCCTTGTATCTTTTAAAGTTTTAACATATTGATACTACCTATGGCAAAACAGAAAAATTTAAAATCGATTTCTTCTTCATTCATACTGGGAAATTTATACAACCTCAGAATACATCAATCAGATTATAACTTTATGTAAGTACCTCATTTTTAAATATTAAAATTCTTAAATTTCATAGACAAATATAATTTTTAAATACTTATTATATTTGTCTATGAAATTTAAAAATTTTAAGAGGAAGCTATGTTTTCCCAAAGTGCTGTTTTAAATCAATCCTTAGAATAGAATTAGTAAAAAAATATTTTCGAAATTTATTGACCGTTTTCAAGAATTAGGCTTAACAACAAATTAATATCCAAAAAATACGCTCTCAAATTACCTACAGCTGTACTTTTTATGAAACGAGGTACATTAAGGTACAATAATTAACAAATTAAAGTCGCCAGTGTTGACATTACAGTAAAAAGCATGTCGCTATGCGTGACACCACGAACTCGCCTTGCTAAATAATAAGGTCAGTTTCTTTTAAATTATTACGACGAAACGTCACGCCTGGATTAGTAGAAGAAAATACTTATTTTCATGATATTTTCTATGTAGGTAAATATTGAATAAATTATACGTTTGTTACTCCATAATTAAAACTGGTCCGCTTTAAACGATTTTACCACAATTTGAACTAAAAAGCGAGAATAATGTATCTATTATCTTTCCTACAGGAACGGAACCGATTCGAGAGAAACCTTCGAAATTCACGATGGCGAAACCACAGGTTGAAAAAATCCAGTAATAAAAATACTGACAAAAAACGCGCACTGAGGGTTCCGTACAAATAACGCATACATTGCTGGTCTTTTGATTAAGTAGTTGGATATACCTAAAAAAAATGTTTTTTTTTTTACAGCTTTAACGTATTGGAGAAGCAACAAAATTTACATACGTTACTTGTTTAAAAAAAACCTCGACACAAAAAGTAACTTTTAAAAAGTATATAATCCAAAAAAAAAACAAAGTATGTTGTCAACAGACAGGCAGCAGGTACCTTTTGATTGGCTTTAGGTAAAAAGTATTTGATATATTTTCAGAAATTGGAAAACAGCACACTCGCGATTCTGGAGCAGGGGTCGCTTATCTTAATTAATATTTCTTTCGTCTAGGTGAAAATAAATATTTATTCAAAATTTTCTTTACAAATTTCTGTCTATTCAATGGTATGGCTATTCAGTATCGATGTATTGAAATATTAAAGACTTTGATCTATAAGGTAAATTAGGTACTTGAAAATTAATTATGAGATGGATTGAAACAACATAATGATTCAAAGGCAACTATTGATTATACTTCTATTATACAGGTACAACCGCCTCCTCCTATACTATAAGGTTCAAAAATATATCCAACTAGTAAATACAAATCCTTTTTAGGAATATCAAAAACAAAAATCTATTGCGATAACAGTTTTATTGTTTGATTTTCAATGGTTAGTAAAAGTTATCTGGGGAATAATCATAATGCTGTCGCGTCAGAATGTTTGTATAAGACAGTGACAGCAACAATTTTATTACATATCTGGCTATTGAATCAGCTAAAATACACTTATTTTTTTAATATGTTATGATAAAGGTAGCGTTCAAACAATTAATAAAATAAATATGATTATTTCCTTTTTTATATAAATTTATAACGTGCCAGCTTTCACAGTGTAGCATCCCTAGTTTGGGTGTTTGAAATGATGTTAGAGGTCTTAATTAATAATTTAATAGATATTACTCATTATTAAAGGTATAAAAATATAGTTTGAATGGTTATTAAAAACATATTTCAAACTAAACAATTCCTTCTAGATTGCGTTTTACTACTATATTAGTGCGGTATTGTATATTTGTAAGTTTCGTATATTACAGCAATTTCCTTCTAGCTTTCGTTCAGTACGTACAGCAAACATGTAACACTTCGCACTTGACTTCCCTTAAAGAAAGAGGTCAAGGTGCGAGGAAAATACGTTATTATCACTTATCAGTATTAGGGTCGAGTCTATTGCCATAAAAGGGCCACAAAAACCATTCTTATATAGAACATCGAAATAGGAAAACCCGATATCACTATCCGCACTATAGATCAGATTAAGGATTTTTTCTGTGTAAATATATTGAATATAAGATTTTAAAATAGCAATGCTTTTGTGAATATCTTATATATAAAAATGGATCGAAAAATGTGTTGGTAAGCGCATAACTCAACAACGCCTGGACTAATTTTGCTGATTCTTTTTTTGTTGTGTTCGTTATTGTCAGGAGAAGGTTCTTATCAAAGAAAATATTAGAAAATTAGAGGAGAAGATTAGGAAAAAGTGACCCTTTGATAGCGAGATACTTAATTGGACCCGTGCAAAGCGGGGTCGGGCCGCTAGTTTAAAATATTTTTCTCAACACTTCGTTTCACTTACGATGACGTAATGTGAAGAAGAAAGTATAAACGGAATATAAATTTTAAAAGAAAATACAACGTAGACATAACCCAACGGTGCTGGGATATGAAATGAAAATATTCATAAAATAGATAAAGGCACTTCAAGCCTTTTGCTTCAGACAACTTCTCTCTGAAAGTGCAATGCCTCGGAAACACTCCAGACAGAAACGGACATAAGACATAAACATTTCATTGCCTATCCAGCTGTTTAGTAATATTATTTCTCTTTTCCCCTCAGACCGATCAAATTCAATTTGTCTGATGTATTTATAAGAACGATTTTATTAGTATCGGAACAAATAATCTTATTTGTTTTACAAAACATTGTACTCATATTTATGATTGAATATTAAACATACATACTCATAAATAACTTATATAACTAGTCATCAAATGCCAAATAAAAAATACATGACAAAATGAAAATGTACATGAATTTAAAGGATTATAGAAACGTCTCAATGTCGGTCTATTTCAATGGAAATGACGTGAACCGTGAAAGCTTTAGCGCCGTGGAAAACTTTAATACAGTTTATAGTTATTAGTTTCTCGCCACGAAATTATCTAGATTCAACGAACAGACAAACTAATATCTAACTGTACAATAGCAGAGCTCAGTAGGTCGGAAGGTGTTGAAGTGGGTGATTCAAAGATAGGGAGGCAGGTTGTCCACGAGCCAAAATGGGTCTTTTTATCTACACCTTTGCTTGTTTGATTTCATTAAATTAGCGATGAAACCACTGGATCAATTTGAAAAACTATTTAATTGTTGCAAGTTTTCAGAGAATAAGGTTTTAAGGTGTAAAAACATACAAAATATATAAAATTTTACACGGGTCGCGAGTGTTAAGTTAGCCCTTTTTTGCTTTTTATTTTGTTTGAGGGGAAAATTAGACAGAGGGAGTGTCAGACTCTGACTTAAAACTCCCTGTTTCTTCTCCTGCTCTGGGCCGACGCCGCGGTGACTCATTGCGCTTATCCCGCACGCCGTCCGCTTAGTTCTGGTTCTGGTGGGGCGGCGAGCACCCTTACCCTTACTCGCCGTCCGAAGATCGTCTGTCGATCTTGTCTTATGAGTTTACCAACGCATTCAGTATTTTTTATATTATTAGATACCTATAGATATACTGCATTCTAATATGAATAGCCTATGACTCAAAGCTTAGTCACTGATAATATCTGAATTGGGAATCCCACTTATATCTCTGATTGTGATCGAATAATTTTAATACGTGCTGTATTACACTACGAATGAAATTAATAACACGCTACGACCAATAGGAACTGATCAGCGGATGTATCCACGCGGGATTAGCTAGTTTATTCCGTACAAAGTAATATTGTCAAATCAAGAGGATAATAATGGACCTTAAACCAAAATGTCGTCTTTTATTTACAAGGATGGGAGACAAAATAGCCGTCCGATCAGCTGATGCTACGCGCCACCCATTAACACTCTGAACACCCGAGGTTACAGAAGCGTTTCTTGTAAATTTGAAGTACAGTCCGGAAATACGGCCAGCGTATGATCATTCCAAAGTTTCGATAAGCGAGCCAGACGGAATAGTTTATTAGTTCGCGAAAATCGCACAGATGCTGACTGACATCCATGAATTTGATGAAGATGAAAAAGTGTTGTCGCGAGGGTCGATGGCGAAAAGATGCGGCAGCGAAATCGAACAATTTCTCGAAGGCTCTACTTGTGGTGTAAGCCATAGAAAACGCACCGTGGGGCAAAACAACAAGCAGTTTCAAAAAGTTCAGCAACTATACGGTGTGGGACAGACATCAGGGACCTGCGCTATATGAAGTAGCAAGCGTTGCCTCTCGAGTGAAATATTCCCTCGATCTATTCAGCACACCTGGCTTCTTCGAGGCGTTATACGCACTAAATGACCGCGTTAATAATATTCGATAATTATTAATAGTCTTATCAATCCTTTTTTTATGTAAGTATGTATGTGTTAAGGCAAACGGGTAAACAAATAAAGTGATCAGCGTCGCCCATGGACGGGTGTCCGTAAGCAACAGCAGAAGAACCACAGGCACGTTGCCGACCTTTAAGGAAGAAGTACGC